AGCCATAAAGGCAAGAAGACAACAACTATGGGATGAAAACAAGCCACATTCACAAAAGATAAAATGTTGTGAACATACATGCAAAATGATGCAGTGTTTTCTTCTTGTAATACGTAACACACATTTAATCAAACACATTTTTGAAAGATCCGTTTCCTCTGTTTTTTCTGTGCATGTGAAACCTCAGGAAACTGTTGCTCTTGGCGGTGAGACAGACATTATCTACATGTTCCTTTTTCATATTAAAAACAAGGCATAGAAGCAGACAAAATACATTTGAATGTTCTTGTTTTGTATTTCTTTCTTCCACCTTGCTCCGCCTTACACTCACATGTGCGTGGCTTACATCCGCCAATACAGCTCATTCTCGATGTAAGAAACATCCAGTTCTGTGTGTTATTTCCAGACTGGTGAAACCAACTGCCTCCAAAACCCGATTTAGTAAAATGCCCCAGTATCTAAGTCATAATTGTAAGAGAGTGTTATAAGACAGCTAAAATATCGACCAGGTTCATCCGTCCACGTCACAGGAGGCTACATATCCGTGAGAATGATGCTGTCCTGAAAATTAACCTCCTGCAACTTTGCCTTGAGACAGAAACTGTAAAACAATTTGGGGATATGTACAGTATGATAATTAAATAGCTGTCTGTCATTTAACCATCAATGATGCTTCTTTACAGCAGATGCTTGTTGTCTTTCCTACAAGTTATTCTGATTTACAGCTGTTAAATACATGTGGATCTGCCCAGAGGTGACCCCGTTTCCCATTAACTGACATCATCAGCTCATTATAATCAGCTCATTGTTCGATTCATAAACATGTCATTGTACAATGTGTAAAAATTGTAGTATTTATATACGGGAGGTGTGAGGTTCAAAAAGCTTCCTCGAGGCAATAATATGCATCAGAGAGCTGTTTTATTTTGCATCCTTAACACCAGTTTTGGCTGATTTCGAACAAAAAATAACCTTTTTTCAATAATTTTTTAAATCAGGGAGACAGACTCTTTTCTGAGAGACTGTTTAAAGCTGCAGATTTTGAACATAAAGACAAAAGCAGTTTGGGATGGTCAAGTCTGACTTGTTCCCCTCATCTTTTTGACTGACTTTGGATGGATTTATTTCACCTCTGAAGGTTTTCAGTCTGTCATAACAACAACAACAAAAAGTCACTGTGGGCTGGCGATTGCCTGCAAAACTGGTTTCTTTGTGGCAACGAGCCAATGAACGATGCTCAGTAAAAATGTGCAAGCAACTGGCTGGTTACCCATATTACACTCCCAAACACACACACACACACACACACACACACACACAC